TCGCCCTCGGCGACGGCGCTTTGCACCGTGGCCACGAGGCGGTCCAGGCGCCGGTCGAACTGCAGCGTCAGGTCCATGAGCGGATAACTGCTCTGGCCGATGGCGGTCAGGGTGGCCGAGGTCTGCGTGGACATCCAGGTCAGCACGGCGATGCCGACCGAGAACAGCAGCGCCGAAATGATGGGCAGCAGCCAGATCCGTGTCTTGGTTCTCATGGGGTCGACGCGTCACTCGACCAGCAGCACGACCTTGACGCTCGCGTCGACGGCGGCCTTGTCGATGTAGCCGATCGCGCTGGGGCTGGCAGCCACCGCCTTTTTCACGTCCGCCGCGCTGCCCAGCTCCTTCGGTGGCGACGCCTGGCCGGAGAACGCGAGCCGGGCCCACGTGGCCTTGACCTGCGCGGAGTTCTTGCTGGTGACCTTGGCGTAGAACTGCTCGCGGGCGGTGTGGTTCTCGGGCAGGTCCAGCATCTGGCTCAGGCCCCCGGCGATGCTGGACGACTTGCCCAGGTACAGGCTCGCGACCTGCTCGGGCGTGACCGCGCTCAGGCCCGACTTGGGGTTCACGACGACCGCGACCTGCGCCAAGGCGCTGGCGCCATGGGCTGCCAGCGCGAGGGCGGCCAAGAGGATCCGGGAGGAGAGGCGCATGTGGAGAGCTCCGATACGCGTCAAAACACGAGGTCGTACGCCGCGGTCAACACCCTGGCATTGCCGCCGAAGGGGGGATGGGCGTGGTCATTGAATTTGTCCACCTGCAATTTGAGCGCCGCCCCGCTGTGAATCTCGTAGCGCAAGGCGAGAGACCGGGTTGCCGTGACCGACACGGTCCCGTAATTGAACGTGTCCCGATACCGGCTGATGCCTCCGGTCAGGGTGAACTTGCCCCATTGGCGCCCGATCGTGGCCAGGTGAATCGTGGCGGCATAGCCGGGACCCTTTTCACGCTTGACACGGCCGTATTCGCCGCGGAATTGCCAGGAACTCCAGTCGGCCAGCGCCGCGAACCCGAGAAAGCTTTGTGGCCCCCGTGTGGTGCCCGACGGCAATGGCAGGTCGGCGCTTTCGCCATGAAGCCTGTTCGAATAATCCGATTGCGAATAACTCACCCGCCCCGTGAACCAGTCGTTGCTGGCTTCCGCGAGCACGCCGCGAATCCTTGACCAGCGCACGTCCGTGCTCATATCGGAAATCAGCGCCTGGAGTTTGTTCCGGCGACTCGATTCGGAGCCGCCATAGGCTTCCAGCCGCACCGCCCAGTCGCCGAGGTCCCGGTAGTGAGTCAGGCTGGCGCCGTTGAAGTTGACGATGTCCCAGCCATACACGTCCGGAAAGGGTCTCACCGTGGCATAGGCGAAGCCGACATCCTGGAAATCGGAATACAAATACAGCGGCAGCCGCTTCCGCCCCAATTGTATTTTCCAGGCAGGCGCGGGTTTGTAGGTGGCGTAAGCCCACTCCAGATTCAAATGCTGGTCATCCAGTGTGCGCGCCGTCACTTGCGTCGTGAATGTCAGGTCGGGCGTGGCCGACCAATCCAGTTGCAAACCCGCCCGTGTTTCCCGGTCAAGATGCCAGCGGGCCGTTTGAACGGCGGCATGCGACCAGTCAGCAATGAAGCGAGTGCATTGGCCCTGGAACTCGGTGGCGATCGTGGCGTCATCGATGCAGGGGCCGAAGGTCCTGCCCGCCACCAGGGACGCAAAACCCGACCATTTGAAATCACCCGCGTGGCAGGATGGGGTATGCAAGCCGAGTGAAATCGCCGCACCCAGTGTGGCGATGAAATAGGCCGAAGTGCGCGGATGAAAGGGTTTCACGACAACTCCGATGAGGCGGTTTCATCGAGTTTGCGTGCGGCTGAATCGCGATTCAATGGGTGTGCGGAATCACCACTGGGGTCGCGGCAGTTGTTCGCGAACTCGCGAAAACGCCCCCGCTTCCACGGGACGGGGAGCACTTGGAAACGATTGATTTGTGAGGTAAGCGCCAGCCAGTCCGCACGCACAAGGCGGGCGGCGCCAGGCGCTGCTCAGCGCCTCAGAAGTTGAGGGTCGTGGGGCCGGCGTCGCGAGAGGCCGGGCGCAGCAGCTGGCCGAGCG